CTGAAGAATATCGAAATGTATCAACACAAATCCTACATACCGCGGTGATTGGCACGTTTTGTCCGGGTTAGTTGATCAACCACTTAAATCATAGGAACTTTGTCGATAATACAACGACTAATAGAGACAAAACATTTACAAAAACTGATATCTCATGCGATAGGCGGGACAACAGCCGGACTCTAGGTTCGGCTTTGTTAGCCGGTCGATGTGCAGCGAAGAAAAATCAGTACACATTCGTCTGATGATAGGGATTCAGCCATAAAAACCTGAATTTGCCAACAATGAACTAAAAAACAAAACATAGTAAACAGAAAGGGTTTTCCGGTGAAATCTAATTAATATCAACACACCGTCCACTGCAGCACAATACATGAAAACGGTTAGAAAGAATGGCCGAAATTATGTTCAGCTTTTGATGATGTTCTCTGTAAAAACATCTTTGTAACCCTCACTGTTTGCCGTATGTTAAGAGTGACCGTGTAGTACAGTTCACCACTGATTCGATCACTCACTTAAAGTCTGACTCCCGCAGTCAGATGAATTATGTATAGATAAGATATAGAAACTACAGTGCAGCTTGCACCTGTAGCAGACTGATCCATGGTCAGAATAAAGACCCACTGGAACCATAAGCAAAACGAGGCGTAGACACTGACACGAAAAGGAGGCCAACGATGCATTCTTTTTGTTTGTTTGTGTTCATTATTGTTATGACGTTTACCATTCTTAAAATTCAAACAGTCCTTCGGAGTCGTTGAGATTATCACAGCTGTTTCATCGTTGTTTTACTTGATATTTTGACTTTCGTGAGTTACCATGTCAGGTAGCCGCTTTCTTGTTTGAACTTATTTCACAGATTTTGCCTGTTCATTAATTTAATGCTAACATAAAAATCGTAAATTGTTACATTTTGGTTCATAACTGTTCCCACTGCCATTGTTCTAAGTTGTGTTCAGTATCAGACTACCAGATAGTATTTCGTTTAACCACCGGTTGATCCAACAGTGACAGTTTAAGTCAATCGAAATATACAAAATTGAATTTGGTTAATAGCAAGCTAAACACATCTGTTTTCGAGGTCAACACACTGGCAAAAATATCAAGACCTAAAGTGCTCCCCTTCAAGCTTTCCGACATTTCATAAAACCAAGAAAAACTAGACATTTTACTAGGGTTCCGTGTTTATTTCGATAACAAAAGGCGAAAATTCCTTGCCAAACAATCAACAACAAGAACGTCATAGGTTATTGAGCTTAGTGAACCTTACTATACCTCTAAACGTTATCTTCCTTCTACTTCGACCACAGTATGCACAAGCTAGAGCACAAGGCGAGTGATCCGAAAGACTGGACAAAGAAGTCCCAGAAACTCAATATCTGTATGAATGTATAAACATCAACAATTTTTACACTGCACCTTCATAAATGCGTTCTCTAAGAAGGCTAAAAAACTTACATAAAGTACGATATATGAGTGACTCGACAGAATTTTCCTGGTGTAATTTGGGTGTATCAACCGCAATAAGAATTATTCATCCATCTCTATAAACATGATTTGACATCACCACTGGCGGAGCTGGATTCTAAAGAGACCAGGGTATTCTTAGACTGCTATGGAAGGTTAAACACATCATGGACATAATTTTTACAGAATCCGTTATCCCAGTCTCCACGCTGTGATCACTTGAATATCAAACATCTTCGGCTTCCTAAATAAAAACGACATTGATACGTCTACGTAACTATACTGAATCCACCTCGGGCTGCTGAAGAAACTCAGACTTTTCCTTTCTAACTCTTTAGCAACATATTTAAACTTATGCCTGGAGACTGCAAGAAACTATGAAGTTTCACTGAAGGTCGCGTTTGTTCAATAATGTCTCCAATTTCCGTGTGCGTAGAGCTACTGTTCCTCTTACCACTAGTGATGATAAACCCTGCAGCTCTGATTTTATCAAGTTGAGTGTATATAATAATCATTTATCTTTACTCACCATGTCGAAAGGTAGTTTCCATATTCAGAAGCGATTATTTGCCTCTCTTGGTTCATTCCATGACACAAGCAATCTAGAGTCATACCTAAGTCCAGAATCAAATGAAGTTTTTTAACCTTGGATAAGTTTGAAAATAAATTCCAGCCAAAACAAACTTATGGTACACGTGACACTTGTTGATAAGTCTGGAGGGACTTGTATTCAGGAAGTAATTGAAGCAGCAGAATGAAACTCAGAATCATTGTGAGACAAAAGTTTCTAACGAATCAACTTCTTATCAGATTTGTCATGTTATTTCACTAAATATGGGTTATCCTAATAAACACGTATATTTCTGATGGTATGTCTCATAAAAACAAGCGAACCATGTCGAATGAATCAAATCATGATAGGAAATTTTATGCAATTTCGACAGATACTGATTTCTCTAATGATCTATTATTCTACAGTGACATTCTTAGTTGATTCGAAGAAAATATTTCAAAAGTTTCGAATCCTGATAATACCATGCCAAATGTTATTTATCTTTATGATGTAGTGGTAAATAAATCCCCAAAATAAATAGCTCTTTAAGTTTTCGACATTGGATGCTGACCAGATGTTTTAATGGACTCACCTAGCTGAAGGCGCTAGGTCATGCACCCGCACCAGATCACGAGTGGTAACTTCGTAATAAACAACCCCTGTAATCGCTAGCCAGATTAGATAAGACGATCCTCAATATATTAATTGCCTATCAAATATATCTTCGAACCTCCTTCTTTTTGTCTTTTGATTTCACTTGGTGGGTACGATTTATATTTCGATTCATGTTTCGAAATTCAAATATTTGTGGCATCTTCACTGGTGAGCCCGACGTGATCTGGTACACCAAACTGCAAACTGTGAGTCTGTTCCTTTTTGGGATTTTATATATCATTGCCTTATTTTATTTTTATACATTGTGATATTTTTCCCTGTGTTTTTGATATTTCACCATGTCTGAACAGAAATGCAAAATACTTCAGTTAAAGGCTATGTCCTCAACTAATGCCCTTCTGGCCAGACAAAATCGGGGCCTGGTTCTGCAACGCAGAAGCCGACTTCTACGAGCACGGCGTGAACGACACACGTGCACAATTCCTCGCAGTAGTCAAGACACTACCGCGCGGATTCAACAGGTACGTAACACCTAGCATGCTTACTAGTGATGATTCAGAACCCTACGAAACACTGAAACGATCTGTTCTTAAACGTGGAGACTTAACCGATCGACAAAGGTTAGACTAACTCCTTAATAACATCGACTTGCAACACGGTTCTGCGACAGACATGTTGCAAAGAATGAAAGAGGTTATCGGCCAAAGAACCTTCGATGATGGCCTATTCAAACAAATTTTCATATCCAAACTTCCTTAACAAGTGCAAGCTGTACTGGTCTCGTTTCAAAACAACGCCTTAGACGAGCTGGATGTATCTGCCAATCGCAACTTAGATATCACGAAATCCTCAAACGCCGAGGTTTTTTCAGTCAAAGAAAAGCCTCAAACGACCCAGGATGATATAACAGAGTTATGTCACACACTTACACGTTATCTCAAATTTCGTATTGACCCCTGTAATCGCTAGCCAGATCAGATCAGACGATCCTCAATATATTGAATGTCTATCAAATATATCTTCGGACCTCCTCGCTTCTGTCTTTTGATTTCACTTGGTGGGTACGATTCATATTAGGTGTTACTGGTTAAAACATTTTCGAACTCAGAATACCTGTGGCATCTTCAATGATATGTTTGTTTCTGATGGAAAATTTTACCAATGTGAAGTACAAGTTCTAGGTGAATTCAAAACCAATTATATTTCGGATGATATCATACCAAACATCGTTTGTCCCCACAATTTAGTCACTACTAATCACCTCTAGTCAGTGAGAGAAATGTTCTAAATAAAACGATATTATTTGTACTCTGAGATATGAAGATCCGACATCATTTCGTGGGAGAGGATAGTGTTGGAAAGTCTATGTTGTGAATTCTAGATATCAATGATTTAAGTACACATAAATGACATGTTGATCATATACAATTACGGGGACCAAATGAGTCTGTTCCAATTTCAGTTGTTAATTTTAACACTCATAAGCATATTCTAGATCATACAGAGTCTGTATATAATGCACAGCCTGATGGACATACAATGAACCTAAGGAGACGTTCAATCGGTAACAGAAACTTAGATTCCAATTTAGGCTGTGGCGGTTGTGGCATCTGAGTTAAATAATGATTCTTTTGTATTTGACTGTCTGCTGATTACGTTGAATGCTAATGCATACCACCGAAGTGTAGTTACTAAGGTTTTATGGAACATTTGATCAAAACGTTGAGCATTCAGACAACTAATTACATAACTAGTTACGAAAACGCATAGTTTTTGTTCTGTTGGAGTCCAACTGTTTTTGAAAAGAGCATAGGACGTTAGTGTTCAAGTAACTGAAACAGAGTTTATCTCAGAATTCGTGTATGTCAACATAATAACATTATGAAAACAAGCAAGGAGAGAAATTGCCATGGAATTCTAGGTCAGTGAAGGGATTCTCAAGACTAAGTCGATAATTACTTGTATGAAATTCTACAGGAGAATAGGGTAAAGGAAATAATAGTACAACATCATATTGTATCCCAGCACTATTAATTTTGTTATTTTACTATTCTGACGTGAAATAATGACCCAATAAACTTTTGTACAACTAGAATCACTATGACTTATATAAATTTCATTTTCCTCAGCATAAACAGTTAGGCACAGTTACTGTAGGTTTAATTTTGTTTGAATTGTTGCTTTCAGCTGCCCTTGCGCCTGAGACAAATGTTGTTTTTCTTCGCTTTGTTTTGGACCCGTTTATTTATTGTTCATCAAACATCGAAAGCAGAATAGCAAATTTTATACTATTGAGAATTCATCCTAAAGTAGTCGCTTAACATCAGTAATTCGAGAAATACGTATCCAACCAAGTTAGCTGAAAATGAGCTTGACTTCCAGAATTACTGGTGGTACTGGCTCAGGCGTCAACCACAATGTTGCAAATCCAGCTCCTAAATTATCTGGAAATCTTCCTCCTACTCAAGATCCAGCTCCCGTGGTTAACCATTCAAGCTCCACACGATGTTCCAGTGGAGCCTTGATGAGTTTATTAAACAGTGGATTATCTGTTCCTCGTCAAATGATGGTTCAGGCCCGTGGTGCACAAGATAATCAACATATTCCTATACATTTGAGCTTTGTGGGAACTATTGGACAGGGGACATTTGGACAAATTGAGAGAGCTACTCTCACTGTCCCAGCAACATCTTCAGGCACACCAGGCAAAAAGAATCCCGATGCCGGTGCTTTTTCTGATGGAGGACAAAGTTTGCAAGTCGCCGTTAAGCGTGTCTTGCAGGACCCTCGCTACAAAAACCGTGAGCTGAGTATTATGCAACGCCTTAACAACCATCCTAATGTTGTGAAGTTCTACTACTACTATTACTCGACAGCGTCGTCAAATAGTCGGGGCCATAGGAGTGGTGGTGGACGTGCAGGCGGATCTACATCGGGTGTAGATGTGTTCTTACATCTTGTACTGGAATGTTTCCCGGAGAGCTTATGTGAACTCATCTACCGCTATTCACAAAGAAACCTGAAAATACCATCTTGTACAGTGAAGGTTTTTACGTATCAGATGCTCAAGTCCCTGGCTTACTTACATAGCCATCAAATATGTCACCGTGATATCAAGTCGTCCAATTTACTAGTCAATGAAGATACTATGGTTTTGAAAGTGTGTGACTTTGGAAGTGCTAAAGAAATGGTGCCGGGAACTGCTAATGTATCTTATATATCCTCTCGGTAAGTTACCATATTCTTTGTTTGTCTTTGAATAATTTCTGCTACTAGTTCCTAATTAGTGTGTTTCTAGTGATAAGCCACTGTAACTACACTGTATTTTGTTATTATATTAAGCTAAGCTCATCTATATCATGAGTTCTCGTGTTCTTTACTGTGCTCCATCAGGCGGAACTGAAGGGCTTGACAAATTGATTATCCAGTTATAGAAGTTAGCTGACATTTCAGATTTGGAATTGGACGTAATCCTATCAGACTGTTCTTTCAGGTTTTGTATAATGTCAGACTCAGCCACACTATCCATGAATATTATACATCTACGGTTGTTGCCCAATTCCCCTATTTATTATGTAAACTTGGATAATAATACTCAATGTATAACCGTAAAGGATCTTAGTAACTAGTCGTTCAGTTTTAAACTTGCTTTATCCTTTTTGTCTAAGTCTTGAATATCTTCCATTCTTACTTTCGACTTGATGCCTAAACGCCATCACACATCGTAGGCTAGTAATAATGACTTCTTAGTAGTTAAACTGCCTTCCATCAGTCTGACAAGATAGGAACTGGAATCCTCTTTTAAAGTTATTTCTAAAATCAATTTGCGTCTTGAACGCTATTGATGAAGTTACGGCCAACTCCGGCTGGAAGAGATCTAATAAGCTTGTTGTTCTACTTGAGCATTGTTTAATAAACACTGCTCATTCATTTATCGTATGAAGTTTCTATCTCTCTACGGTGCTGTCATTTGGTTGCGGGGAGCACTCTTCATGCCCTATTTTACCAAACGATTTGTCCATAAAATAATTGTTCCACTTGTCGTATGTCTTCTGTTAGGTATCTCTGAAATTTTAATTACGGATCAAAACGATACAGTCCTCAGTTGCGACTTGGTGCCACGTCTACTCGAGTGACACATCAATGGTGTCACTCATCTATTAGGTTATTACGTATTTTTATGGTCTTAGTAACTAGTAAACGATCACAGCCGATTCCTCTCGAAGGTCACTTTTCATAATCCCCACCATTTACACAGTCGCTTGTTGTTCTGTATCCTCATTAACTGCGCTTATAATATGTGAGACGTTTCAGCATACCCATTATAAGATAAATAACATTTGAACCGCTAGTTTGAGACATAGCCTTTACATCGTGATATCGATTTCTGATCAGTACATTGTAATAATCAATGATGATGTTTTCCATAATTGGGTCAATAACTAAACTCTGGTCTTACTTTCCGTTCGGCATCCTAAAAACAGACTGAAAAGGCCCATGTGTTAACCGCATATTTTACTGGAGAACTAAAGCTAACTACATAAAAGTAGGGGCGATAGGTAACTGCCTAGACTCATTAAGGTAACAATTATTACTCAGTAATTCTATAGTAGGACTTTCTGACGAAAATGGATTTGTGATTCATTCCCGCTTCACAATTTTGGAATGGTAACTGAGATACTCTAAGGATCAGGTCAACTGCTCAACAACTACTCTTCAATTACTTTCTATTTCCATACAACCTGAGTAAGAGATCAATCCAAGTCTGGTAGCTCTTACCAAGGTTTGAAGAGACTAAATCTAATTCGAAGTGATAGGAATCAACGGTCTGATAAATTAAAGTTTTTGAGGATGGTAATCCTGTTTTAGAAGTTGGGTTGCTTGGGATGTGAGCGTAATTCTAACCTACTGATCTTGATTGTTAATCATCATAGTTCCTAGAAAGGGCAAAGATTCTGTTGCGAAGACCGTATACGAATCAGTTTGTCTAATATATGAAATATTAGCCTCAGTAATTATTCAGTGGGTGAATAGAATCTAGAAATAGCAAACTTGAAAGAACCAGGTGGATTTATGATCTAATAGTAGATATATAGACTGGATCTATACTCTGTCAGGTTTTAAATAGTCATATCAACACCCAACTTTAATTGTTTCTCTCTACCCAAAGACAGAATTCGGTTCCATTATAATAACTACGTAAAACGTTTATTTGTGGAAATTATATTTGAAATAATCCCAGTGATTGGAATTTAAATGGTTCCAACGTTTCGTCCGACAACCTTGTCTGGACTTCCTCAGGATAATAATCAAGATCAAAATTATCGAAGAATATATGTTTAACAATCAAATCAAATCTTTACTGTGCTTATCTAGTTATATCCTAATGTTGACTTTAATAAGTTGGATAATATGAGCCATGTGAACCATATGAAAAGTTCAATGTGATGATAAATGAGTGATTGTGTATGCGTATGTATGAGTAAATTTGAGTTATCAATAGCTGATGTTAATTCGTTTTTAGATGAAGTAAACATAAAAAAATTGTCTGGAGTTAAAGTGACCAAACAAACATACCTCATTAGTCACTTGTAAGCTTATGTAGTTGAGTATACCAGATGTATTTTTATAAGAATGCTAGCTGGTTGCCAAATCTTTGTACTTGAAGAGGTTAGTCATTTATAATCAACATAGTTTAGCACGAATATGAGTTTGCTGAAGTTGCCGTACAACATCAGTACGGCGATGTGAAGTTAGGAGAAAGAATAGCTCGAGCCCAAATAATAGTGGTGTGGGTGATATTAAGAATGATTAAACATTTGAGGATACGGCATATACTTGGAGAAAGGTCCATGATTCTCATCTAGTGGCTGTGATTCGAAAAATTAAATTAACTCAGTAAAATTTATGCCCAACTAGTTTCAATTCAACACTATGCGTTATGCAGTATTGATTTCAGTAATCCAATAATGTTTCGTTTTTCAAAATCCAAGTTAGATGTGTGCAGGTACCGAATTAATATTCCTTATCAAACGTTCAATTTAGGTTTAGCTATGTTGTTTGAAGACCATAATATTTTATGACTGATTCAACCTTGATTAGTCATGCAAAACTAAAATCCAAAAATTCAAGTCGAACAGCCGCACAACCAACTTGTGTTTTGTGAGTGTAAAGCACATATCATTGATGGTCAAATTTCTGTTCATGGTTTCTCAAGGACTTTTTAATTCATTTTCCTATGCTCTATGTAAATCGACCAATATCTCTATACGAAATGAATTAAGCTCAAAAGCATTGTACTTTGTTAATCGATAAATGCCCCTTAGTTATTTAGAACAACCTTTAGATTCAAATAAAATATTTAGAAAGAAGCTCTATCTAGTAAAGTTATTTAACTAAACAAGAGAAATCCTAATCTTCACCCGGTATTTACTGTTAACTTGGCAAGTTAACGTGTTTGGTAGACTCAATCCTAAAGCTTTGGTTTTCGTCCACATATCCGTCTGCCAACTAAGGGGCGAGTTTACTGCCCAGCAGCTCTCTCTGTCTTACTTCATGAATGTGAAACATGACCATTAAGGATAGAGGATATTCATGGGTTATTAGTGTTCGATCATAGGTGTCTTAGAAGCATTGTCCGTGTAGTTGGGGACCACCGGGTAAGGAATCCCTGGGTTAAGAATAGGGTGCTTGGTAAGGATGGGGAATCGATTGATGAGATAGTAAACTTTTATCGACTGAAGTGGTTGGGACATTTATGTACGTATGCCCAACCATCACCTTGGGAGTTGGTTAGAAAGAAGCAAGGGGCATCCAAACAAACAATCCCTGAAGTCATTGACAATTGGACTAAACCATGTTAATAGGTATAGATATTACTACCTGGTTAGAGTTCGCGTGATTATCGTAACAAGTGGTTGGAGACTGAATGATATCGCTCAAAATCATTTTTAATAATGCAGTTCCACTCACTGCCCCCAGATTCTAAGCTTCTGAATCCCTCTTAATTTTTTTTATTTCGCTTTTTTATGTTTTCTTGAATCGTGTTTTCGATGCTTAGTTTATTCAGTTACCACTCATACTATTATTACCCCTAGTGTTCTGGGATTCGATCTAGCTGTGCTAATCGGGTATGGCAACTTGAACCAATGTACATACGTACGGGTTCTACGTTGTGATGGTAAATCAGTTGATGAGGTTATGAATCTTCATCGACTGAGATGGTTGGGCCACGTGTTACATATGCCTGAACACCGACTACCACGACGTGCAATGCTATCCGGTATTGGAGATGATTGGAAGAAAGTTAGGGGCGGCCAAACCAAAACGTGGCATCAGTGCTTGAAGACACTAACTTCTAGTCTGAGCCATGTTGGTAGATGCAGACTACTTGGTTGGGATCCGCGTGACTTTCGTAACCAATGGTTGGAGACTCTTAGTGACATGGCTCAGAATCGATCACAATGGCATCGGTGTATACACTCCCTGTCTTCCCTTAAACTAAAAGATTAAAATCACTTCATATCTTTCTGCGAACCAATTCTTTCTTCTTGTACTATATCTCTATATGCAATCTTTCTCTTATATATTACCACCTTTGACCTAACCACTGCTATGAATCCGGTGTTCATCTCGTTGTGCTGATGCGGTATGGCAACCTGGACCGATGCACATATGTACCTGGTCCTACGTTGTAGCTGACTGACTGTGACTGACCGATTTAGATGTTTGTTATGTCAGACATTTTTAAGTTATCTTGAGAGGATTTTCACTACTTACAGATAGTCAGCTATTGAAACTAGTCCAAAAATAAATCGTTTGAATTCCTTACAAATTTACCAGTCTTGCTAATTTCAATCAGTTCGTAATTCACTAATTGCATGTAAAATGTTCTTACAACCTTGTTAGGTTCACTACCTTACAATACCTATCTTTATCCAGTGTTCAATTGATGGTAACTGTTAAATGATATTTCTCTCCTTGTTGTTGATGGTTTCAGTAACCAAGATCAACAAGTTCCCCAAGCTCATATGTAATAAGCAATTATGGAAATTATCAAGACACTTATCTCCAGTCAAACGTGCTTGCACGTTTTATAATCTCAGCTTATCCAAACAATATTTTTTTATATCACGGCAATGAATTTTGTCTAGTTAGCATCTCTCAGTATGATGAAGATTAAAACCACCAAACACCCCCTAAACCGTTATCATTTATTATTTTCGTGCTGTTTTTTTTATACTTATTTTTGATCGAAATAAGATTTATCTTGTCTACTTCGTAATTTGTACCGTACCCTCTAATGTTTCTGTTTTTGCTCTTAACGTGTAGATAAAATTTAATATCTCATTTTATCAAAACTATGTCATATCAATTGTGTGGTACATCCCTCTGCTTTTCCACTTGTATATCGATGTTTATTACTATCTTCCTAGATATATAGTTAGGCTTGCTTATCTGAAATAGCACATCCATAGCTTGAAAGTGTATAATGTTATTTAGTAGATCATGGTATCTGATTTGAGTGTAAATACGTATGCACTCAAAGACTGAATCCATCGAACCTATTACTCAGTCAAAGCAAAATAGATGAATATGTAGCATTCGTAGTTTTTCTAAAGTATTTATTTCTTAGATAATGACCACATATGAATGTTGCTCGGGTTGACGCATCAAACATGCCCAATAGTTCAGTTTTGTTGACAAACAAAATAATGTTTCTATCCTGACGTGAAATCTTCAATTCAGGAATACATAGTTTTAAAATGTTCAACAACTTGATTGGTTTATATATGTCCTTTTATTTGTCCTTTTTACAAATGCTTGTGCACCTAAGTATGTGCTATCAAAATTTTACTTCCTTTTTGTTTTATCTGATAAGTACTTTGAATGATTCTACCAGATATCGAATTATATGCATACTTATGTAGCATTGTGAAATCGATTTAGCAGTGATGTACTTTAAATAGGCCCTTTATTGTCTTTATCGTTCGTGTTTTATTGACTTCTTGGTATTCTATTACTATATTTTCCGTATACATCAAAAGACTATTCAACTTGCTGAATACACAGTTATAAGCACTTAAAGGTTTTTACTGTTTGTATCTTTTTAGGGGAACAAAATACTTAAAACATTTCTTTTGTAATGTTTACATATATATGCAAAACGATTGATTTATATTTATGATCCTTCAAAGCATTTTAGACGTTTGATCCAAAAAAAATATATTACGTGGTTGGAAATAGTCGATAGGGTTTCCTCCAACCACCTAACATCTCAAAATAGACCAAACAATATCGAATCACTTAAACTGGTAGACGCATGCGCCTTGATTAATAGCATTAAAGAACTGGACAAACATGAAGATTATCATTAACTTAGTGATAAATCAGTTGTAAATTAAGTGTATCTAAAGCTTTGAATCTTCCACATCTAGAACCTCAACACTTCGATGATCGTAAACGCTAAATGCCGTGACTTATGGCAAATCATTGTCTGTAGTACTCGTATTTACCCTCCCCCCTCAGATTCTACCACTCTACTTGTTTCCGTGTTGACTTGCCAATTAAAGGACTCTACTCTTGATCACTGGGTAGCCTATTCGGTTATGGCGACCTGTTAGTATAATTAGTTTTCACACTTAGATTTTGGTTCATATCCAAGTACCTGAAGAATGAATTAATCTAATCTGCAAAAACAGTCCTGCTCAATACTTATCCGATAATAAGTTTTTCTATATTGACTCGATTGACGTGTTCATCTTGAAACACCGGTGTTTTTATCATTTTGTACAAACCTCCACAATAATTATTTGTCGATGCTGAAATACGTTGAAAAAAGTGAAGTGGTCAGCTTGTGACTTGGTTTTCTGGCATGAAAGAAACCCATATTAAACCAACATCTGTCAACCTATCACAACTATCCAGTGTAGGTCCTAGAAATCGTACAATTTGATGAGTCAAGATATTACCCGACATGGCTCAGACTAGAGTTCAGTAATTATTCTAGTGTAGACTTCTATTATATTCTGCATAAAAATGAGGTGATATTTAAATGAAAAATTCTCCATAAACTGTATTTAGACGAGTTGTTTAGAGACATTCTTGCACATGTGTTTGTGAATTGTACGACCTTCCCCTCTTTTCTGCACTATCTTATCACTTCACCTGCTGTCGCCTTTTTCGGTGCCCTGTTGTACCTTCATTCGTGTGAGTCTTAGTTACAGTACTAATTGTTATTTTCTTGCATGAAATTTTTACTAAATGACTCTATGTTTATATCGTTATTGTCGAATGTTTGTTCTATCGTTCAGGTATTATCGTGCTCCGGAGTTATTATTTGGAGCTCAATATTATTCTTGTGCGATTGATACTTGGAGTGGGGGGTGTGTACTGGCTGAAATGTTACGTCAGCATTGTTTGTTCATGGGAGCTGATTCAGTAGATCAACTGGTTAAAGTTATCCGCGTTTTAGGCACTCCTACTCCACAAGATATTGCCAGTATGAATCCAATGTATGGATCTTACAGTTTCCCAGATGTTCAATCTTGCCCTGTAAAACTGTTTTTCCCACAGCATACTCCAGCCGATTTGTTGGCTCTAATGAGCAAAATGCTTGTTTATAATCCATCACTAAGAATTTTACCATCTCAAGCTCTTTCCGAACCATGTTTTGACGAACTTCGTTCTATCGGTCCAAATGGAGTACTTTCGAACAGAGTTCGTATGCCTCCACATATCTTTGATCCTGATCCCGAACCTAATCCTCCTACATCAGTAACAGATGGGACAAATTTATCAGCATATAACAATTGGTTGCCAGAACATCATAAGCATGGCTCATCCAACAAGAAACCAACCACCAGTGTGGGTGATTTGCAAGGTTCCGATAAGAAAAACTGTAAACCACCATCGAATTCTCGAGAAATTCCTGCTGATTGGCAGCGAAAAGGTATGTTTTTAATGCAGATAAATAAACGTGTTTTAATCGTTTAATAGCTAATCAATGTTTAGTTTGAAAATGCGTTTTTCTGGGAATACATTATTTCTCTTAGTAATATTTATTTCGCCGTGTTGTATGAGATGTTACTTGTACCGATGCAAAAGTGTTAGATTCTACGTTAGTGTTTATTTGTTCATGCATTTAAACACAAATGTTGGTACAAGGAGGTACCAAATATATATGCTCCACACAAATCAGATGATTTGTATGAGGGCTGGAATACTACCCGAGTGCCCAAACCGTAGCAGATGGTTTCCCCCGAACCCTTGACCTAGAGGTCTGGTCCACAAGGTAGTAGAATATCGTCAGGAGATGCAGTCCCATGGTAGCCGGTGACCAACAATAGGTTCATACTTCATCTGTTCCCATGTTCATCATTAGTTTGGAATTATGGTTTCTCAACTCCCATAGGTGGATCCTTCAATATTCGCCAGCCCGGTTAAAGCTCCGGATATTCGCTTTTCGTCCTCTCAATTTCGTAAACACCACTCGCGAGTAGGCAGTGAGTAAGACATCCATGTCAGTGGTTATATACGCTTGGCCATGTGAGAGCATTCAGAGAGAGAGGACTCTCCCCACCCTCGATCATACCAGGGCATTTGAGAGCTGTTGAGTATATGAAAGCATTTATTTATTTATTTGGACACATAAATATTGGTACAAGAGGGCACCAAATATATATGCGCCACACAAACAATGAGAATGGGGAGAGAAACAAAGAAGGTAAGGAGTGTGAAAGTAAAAAAAAAGAAGAATGACGACCAGATTAGTGTAAGGTAGTGTAACAATAATAATAGTAGTAATGGGGTAAACGGAAAAGTACAATTAGAAGAAATCTTTCAGTTAATGAAGAAACAACCATTTTTTATGAAAAAAGTAAAAGAAGGTTACAGCAGGATCACCACTGGCTTCTATTCTGAGCCATATCTGATAACGTCTCCAGCCACTGTGTTGCACCATCTCTCTGACCCCAACCAGGGAGTCATGAAGGACCAACAAAAGACAACCCTTTGCAGCTTTCTTTCATACTACGACACCGTGTCATACACTAACCACCTCTCCGCTTCTTCCAACCAGTCCCATGAGTCGGCAAATAATGCACGACGTGAAATTCTCTGGGACGACATTCGTAGAACATGTTCAAGCCGCCGAAGTCGGTGTTTCAAGATGGTGACACCAATTGGATCATCGTCTGTGCGCCCGAACACACGATGCCGAACCTCTGTATTACTAACACGGTGTTGCCACTGGATGTCAACAATCCTTCGGAGACAAGGATTATCAAACCCAGTGAGTTGTCTAACATCTTCAACTAAGAAAGGCCAGGTTTCACAAGCATAGAGCAGAACTGCTCTCACCGACACGTTGTAGATCCGACCTTTTACAGCTAGGCTGACATCACGATAGCGCCAAAGATGGTCCAGATTGACATAAGCCGCTCTGGCTTTCACTATACCTGCATTGATCTCATCACTCACACCCCCACCAGCACTTATGCAGCTACCTAGATACACAAACTTCTCGACTACTTCTATCTGCTCACCATCCAGGGTGAGTACAGGATTGGAATCCTGCCAGTCTTGTAGAAGTACTTTGCACTTCGAAGGTGCAAAGCACATACCATACCTACGGACACTGATTGCCAACTGATTAAATGCGGATTGCATGCCTTGGGCATTATCGCACAGTAAGACAATATCGTCCGCATACTCAAGGTCGAGAAGTCTTTCTCCAGGCAACAGATCCACACCGCCATTACTTACATCCATCAGAGCTGTTTCCAGAATGTCATCGATGGCAAAATTGGAGAGGAATGGTGAGATTGGACAAGCCTGTCTAACCCCACTTCTTGAATGGAACAATGGAGAAAGGTGGTTGTATGCCCTCACTCTACCCATATGAAAGAAACACTTAATTCATTGAATGATAAGGCACCATGATGTATCAAAGCAGTACATCAACCTTGTATCGACTACTCGAACACTACTGGTCGGGTTAGAACTTAAGCTGATATGTTATCAGAATTGTCAAGGTTGTCCACTTTCTCCATTTTTACCTAGTTTCGTCATAGACACTCTCCTAGAGATAAAGCCCTCATCGTCTGACGTTTTAAGCGTTGACCTAGGGATCCACTTATCGACTTGAAATACACAAACGGCACAGTCCTGTCCTATTTATTGATTCACTCATTCACCACGTACTTGGGTATGAGCTGATTTTATTATCTGGTTGCTTAAACCAAAGTTGGTCAAGCTAAATACGAACCTAGTACTTAGTAGCTGGAAGTCTAATGACTTAACCATGAAGTCACTATCTAAACGACTAACGAGAAGTATTTTCGTATTCATATAAATCATATCTCATAATTCTAGTTTTCTTTGTTTATTATTTAGGTCGAGCTGTCGGATCTAATAATTCATCGGAAAAATGTGGGTCAGTTATTGCTGGTCCCGGTGGTGGTAGTCATCCAAACCTGGAATCAAAATCTGACGAATTAACCGGGAACACTAATGGTGTAAATAATGATGCTTCGAGTAGACAACAACAACAGCAACACAATCGAACTAATAATGAGAATAATCTTAAAAGTCCAATCGATGCAACAAAAGCCGGGACGGCGACAACAGTTGATGTTGGTCATACAAGTCAAATAGAAAATCCCGATGTCTGTTGCAATGATAATGAAAACAATATTAATAATAATAGCATTACTACAAATGTACACTTAAAATCATTTGTGCCTCCTACTCATCCCAACTCTTCTGAACAACGGACAAATTTAAGTGAAGTACACTAGATGGATAGATAGATCGAGATAAACATTTGCACAAAAATCCACATTACAAAATTCATAGTGTAATTATTTCTTGTCATTTGATATATCCTGCACACAGTCATTTCATTGACGACCAGCCTCAACATTAGCGTCACTTTGTTATCTTTCTGTTAACTAACAAATTATTTCTTGTGAGGATAGTAGTACTTCGTAAATAAACAATCACCCTTTCTCTTCCCCTGTCTGCGCCCAATTACTCGTCGAATTACTTTGATTTCTTCGTGTATATGTGTGTATGAATGTCTAGAAAAAGCCCACAATAAAGGAAACCAACTAAATTACACCATACTCTTTTGTTGTTATTTGTCGTTTAATATTGAACGAAGTTAATCCTGTTTCTCTCTCTCTCTCTTTATTACAAAACACCTACGGTGACATGGTTATCATCTGTTATCTTCCCGACTGTTAGTTTTTCTTCCAAAATAATGGATATTACAATCCACATATTTTTTGTTTATCAATTAATGTAGGTAGTTGAGTGTAGACAACAAAATGTCGAATGGTATTGTGTTGTATGCATTGTTTATTGTTTCAAAACTGTAGAACTTTTCTCTTCTATCATTTTCTTCTCACTTCTTTTTCTGACTAATATGATTCCAAGTAATAAGTTTACCTCATAGGAACAATCTCTCCTGGATTTTTTTCTCCCGTTTGTCTGTGTTTATTTTTACAATTAGAATTAGTTATGTTATATAACATTATTCTGTATTTTCGTAACTACTTTAATAACCCATTAATTAATATGTAAATATATATACATATATGTGTTCATTCAGTTCACGACTTCTTTCTTGATTGTTTTTCATTTGTTACACTGTGTTCTGAGGTCCTTTTTCTTCCATTCTACAATCTGTCCATTTTTGTTTTCTCTTACTTTATCCCATCTCTTATTTCATTATTATTCAGAATCATTTCTCTAGGTGTATGTTGTTTATTCATCTCACTTCGTTGTGTTTTAGTTCTCTTCAAAGGAGAGAAAAGAAAACGAAGAAAGAAACAGGCTTATAGAGTGGTAGTAAAATATTTTTTGTCTATTTTTTTTAAAAAAAATTTTAGATCTTAGTTGCTGTCTATCTACCAGTTCCATTTTTAAGAATAGAATATTTCATGTCAATATAATAATAAGTAAAACCCTATACATTTCTTGATCTGATTAGTTACAATTTTATAGATGTTAGACAATTACATGTTGATCTCCTTTCATATTAAATATATTCTCATAGTGTAATCAAACCTTATTCGATATAAATTGCGGGGGGGGGGTCAGAGAAGAGAAAAGAAAGATAATTGATTGATTGATCGATCGATCGATTGATTATGTCGCAATATTTGTACTTCAATTTTTACAATGATGTGAATGTGAATTTCTGGATATTTATTTTGCATGTTCTATACAGAAGTATCTATGTGTGTAAAGGTGATTGTTTTGTGATTTTTTCTATTTCCTATATCTTCTTTACTGCCTATTTATTCATTTTATAGACACAAACACACACACACACACAGACTTGTATGTAACCATTTCACTGTTCTTTTTTTAAAAAAAAAAGAAAACTCTTCAATTAAATTATCTGATTTTTCATTGTCCTTTTTTTCCCGTTAACAAAAAGTTGTATTTGAGTTCTTTTGTTTGTTTTTGTTTTGTAAAATAGAATTAGGATAGATTATGGGATTGTTTTTGGACTGTTTTGTAATTCAACAAAATACCATACCAACTAAACGTATAGTTGAAAGAGAAAAAGAAAATTTCTTTTGTATAACAAACAACACAATGAATTGTGTTGTGTATATGTCTTGGCTATAGATTAGAATTGTTTGTTATTGTTATCGTTTGAACTTTTCTTTTGGTTGCTGTGCATCTTATCAGCATTTTTTTTCTCTCTCGTTGTTATTGCCTTAATTGGTTTAATTTATTTCTTGAGATATTTCTAATTCACCAAACTGGTATGCGTATGTACACACAATGATGTAGTATGTAGGCAACGTTTCTATTGTCCATGTCGTGATAGTGTTTAGTTCTCTTATGAATGTGTATGTCTGTTTACATTATCTATGTTGAAGAATTTTGTTAAATTGAATAAATATGAAGTTGATAGGGTAATTTCTTCTTTTTGAGAATAGTTTTATATATGTGTAGAAACGATTTGTTATCTGTAGGTTTTTTCTTTCTATTCCCTTTCATGTACTTCTGTTTCACATGTAGTATAAACGTTTTTTTTATTTTCTCTTTCACTTTACTAACTTGTGTTTTATGACTTTCTAACTGTTGGTCTTTATGGAGATTCTTAATGCTTGTATTATTATTCAGTTTAATTACTGATATATATGTACTTGTAAAATGTACAAGATTATTTGTTTTTGTTTTATTCATGTATTTCCTTTATTCTCTCTTCATCTTCTGGCAAAAAAAAAAACGAATACATACATACATTAATATGAACACATACTTGTCTTTATATTTTTGGTCTACGTATCATATCTATTTATGATTATAATAATGTCAAGTTGATATGTCAAATATGAGCAATGTTCTTTATCTTCCATTGTGTTAAGTTCTCAGGAGTATTTTATTGTATGTTTGTATGTGTTCATTTATTTTACATGAGTAAAAATAGTTCAGTATCTTCCTTCTTCTTCTTCACTAGATGATTGAATTTCTTTTACATCATTAATGTCATTTTCTGATCATATTTTGTATGTGTACATCCTAAATAAGAGTAAAATAAATGGACTACGTTTTCTTCTTCTTCTTCCTCTTCTTGTAATCATCATTTGTTTGATTCCCTTCTATTTGTCTTTATATGTTCTATTCTGAAATATTTATAAAGTAAGTAAATAATGTTTGTCTTATAGTACATTAGTTTTATTGTCTGTTATCAGTTTGTTTGTTTGTTTGTTTTTCTTTTCATTCTTCTTGTATCGCTCAATTGTTTAGAAACATTGAATAATTTAAGAGTAATATACCTCTCTCTCTCCCTCTCACACACACATATATATACACTCTCTACCTACCTACCTATCTATCTGTCACTTTCTCAGTATATATTGTCAAAGAAGTTATTTTGACCATTCATTTGTTTATAATAAACGATATACATATATATATATATATGCCTAACTAGTTAAAGATCAACTATGCATTCTATAATGATAGACAAGATTTCGTGAAATATCATTACAATTGATAGTACTATTTGTATATCTGAATATACAATAAGAATAATCGATCATCAATCAATCAATCAATCAGTTATTGCTTTCAATAAGGTTTCCTACTTTATAATTTGTATGTCATAGATATACGTTTTAACTAAGATATATATATATATATATATATATATATATATATATATATATACAATGTTATCATTATTCTAAAGGATTTAATTATCGATTAGTATGTTATGTGTTTATCTACATGAATAGTAAACATTCATAAAGAAGTACTAGATTGATTATATATACTGATGTATAGTTCATGTTGTAAATAATCATAATAATATAGATATAGATATGGACATTTATGTCTCATTTTTAAATGATCGGAGCATTTACTAATTTAGTCTGATCTAATGAACATAATTTTCATTGATTAGTAGTTTTAGTTATAAGTAATGTAGAACTTGATATATGAACACTGTCAAACAGTTTCATACAACCTCTCCTAACTTGAAAAAAAAAGAAAAAGGAAATATCCTAGTAGAATAACATGAATCTATATATTTCGTTGATTCTCTTTAACTGTTTACGAATTCCAAATGCCTTGGTACGGTCAAGAGTTGGAAGAGTTAGCTCTTACATGGACACGCGTATACAGCTACTGACAGTGAAGTCCTACTCACTGCGTTCTCGTGGCAGGGTTGTTGTTTACGTAATTGAAGGGACGAAAAGCGAATGTCCGGCGCTTTGACCAGGTTGGTTGATTTAGAGGAACCACCTAGGGGAGTTGGAAAACCCTGATTCCAAACCAATGATGCACTTGGGCTCCAGGATTCTGAGGGAACATATGAGGTATGAACTAATCGTTGGTGGCCGGCTACCATGGGACTGCATCTACCTACGATGCCCCACTGCCTTATGGATCGGACCTCCGAGTGTGTCCCTAAGAAAACCATCTACTTCGGATGTAGTACCCGGGCTGTATCACAGTCCACACAAATCAAGTGACTTGTGTGGCGTATATGTATTCGGTGCCCATTTGTGTTCAAATAAATCATTAAAACAAATGTACATACTTTATATCAGAAACATCTAGGATAAATTGATTTAAAATATGGAGATAGAATAATATTAAGAGATCACAGTACGGGAGAACTAGAATTGTATAAGCGTTCCCTTATTTATAGGTTAAGTAGTATATGAATATTCTAGAAGAGTATGGAAATAAAAAAAGACTTCGCGAGACAGAAGATAGATTATACACTATAATCTGGTTGATTAAAGCTTATAGGAAAATAGAAGACAAAGTCTTTTATTATTGATCACGAAAAATAAGGTCATCAGAGTAGAACAGAACTGTTCCCATTTTGAATATACATAAATCCGGTTTAAATCTTTTTAATGCAACAGATTTGACAGTGTTTGTTTATTAATATAAATGATTTTGCAACTTCAGCAACATGTCTGCCATCGAGCAATTGCACTATTGAAAACCTTGTGTCCGTTTAGCATCAGTTTTTGTGGAGTACGTTCAGAGATGCGGATGCAAATCCTCCTTTCTGTTCTACTGATGTATGAGCTTTCTCACGTACCTGTAAACTGCTAAATACAATTAGGGGTAATATAAAGCGGATATCTGTTCACATTTGATTGTCTCAATGAGCATATGCTTTAGTATAGAGACACCAACTTCGTCGCTGAATACATTCTTTTTAGTATTACCTTTAGTCTAAAATTAATCCTCCCATCGCCTTTGAAACCAAGTTTTAAGAAGTAAGGCTTTTTTGCGATCGTAGGATATT